AATAAGCTCTCAACAAATGAGCGTTGGACCATTTGTTTGATTGTTTATGATGAAATCCAAATATAATAACTAGAAAAATATAAATGTAGTGAGATTGTGAGAATTGAGAATTGGATGAATTGAAATTGTAACTAATAAATTGTAAAAATTGAATTGATATTGTATATTTTGCAGCACAAGAGAGTAAAAACTCGATAATTAATATAATAAAAGAGAGTTGGAGTAGTGAATGAGTAATTGATATGGAAAAAAAAAACAAAGGGGTATTTATAGTAGAAGGAGGAAAAATATAAAATAAAATAAATATTTCAATGACCGTTTGGTCACTGAAATTTTTTTAGTGACCATTTTGGTCACTCTCTTTGCGAGCCATGAGCTGAGTGGCTCATGGCTCGTTTGGCTCGTTAAAAATAACGAGCCACGAGCCCGTTCAAATGAGCCGCTCATGGGCACCTTCGCTCGGCTCGCCTCTCGACGGGTTCCGCTCGGCAAACGTTCGGGCTCGTGATTTTACGAACCTGAGCCACCCACGAGTTCTATTTTGACGAGCTGAGCCGACGAACAGCTCAGCCCTTTTGACATCTCTAGCGGTGGTAAGGAGTTATGTATGTGTATAGCATTATCCTTAATGTAATGCGATGATAAAGTTGTAGGAAAATTGTAGATTGGGCGAATGATGAAAGAATTCGCATAACTAAAACACTATTTAAAAAAAACGGTGATGATTATTAAACAATTTAATGTTTAGTGCTCAAAGTGAACTTAAGTATAAACTTCAGTGGCTATCGTATAAATTAACTCTCAACGAATTCCATACCAGCCCGCATTTTTATTTGCTTGTGGCGGGAAGATTCCTTAGGGTTCAACAAAAGTCATCCATTAGCTACAAAAATTCCAACATTCTTCCTTGGAAAAAAAATGTCTTTCCCTGATGAGTTTCAAGCAAGTAAGACCTTCTTCCTTCTACGTATATATCAATGTATACTAATTTGCGTTTTTTTTAAGCCATAAATTTTTATTTTTATTTTTTTAGAATTTTACAATTGGAATGAAAATTTTGTTATTTCACATCGTGAATTTTTAATTTTGGCTAAAAAAAAGTTATTCAGTTTATTTTTTGCTTATAATTTTCTTGAGTTGGTTAATTAGGAGATCGAGAACGTAAAATTAGCATTTTTAGTTATTCACTTATTCTTGATAATAAGGGGGTTTTATTGTATCTATCGCTTCTGGGGTTTCTTTATATTATTTGTGTCAATCGAATTCATGAAATGAATTTTACACGGCTCCTGAATTGTGTGTTGGCTAAATTTTTTGAGTAGATTTGGAAGCATTGCCGAGTATTTTGCAAAGAAAGTACTCATTATTGAGGGATTTAGACAAAAGCCTACAAGGTACTAATTCATTTACATGTAAATGATTTTTCGTTTATTGTAGAATCTCTTTCCTTGATGTTAAGTGCAGTGTAGGTAGTAAATAGCAGCGAACAGATGTCATTCACTTGCATTTTATGATTTCCATTATTCTTCTTTGTTATATATATGTACTCTGGAATTTGCGTCTATTTGTTATGCGGTTTTCTAAATTCTGACAATAAGATGCAAATGCATGTAAATGTAATTTGTTGATTTTCTGTATAATAATTCATATGGCTTTTCTGATGCAACTACCAGAGTCCATTTGCATACTGCTTACAATGAATTTTAGAAGGAATCAATGTAAAAGACAACTGATTCAATGTAACATTATTGAGTGAAATAGAGGTTCTGAACGCTATAAAAGGTAATCATAGATGAAACAGGACATCTGGAATTCTACTTTGGCAGTAACTAGCAGAATGAAAATTCTTTTCTTGAAGTGATCCTAACTGAATCTGATGAAGAAAAGTTTTCAGCTCATACAATGAAGGTTTTTAACGTGTCTTGCCATGTTTTTATGGTTTTCTAATTAATTGTAATACCTTATTACTTCTTCCTTATGTTTTACCCCCTTCGTCTTATATTTCTTTGGTTTACCTTATCTTTAGAATGCTTTACATTGAAATATCGTTCATTCCTCTTATGATAAAATCAATATGAAGGATATTCATTCCAATAAACCTGAACATGTGTGCACACCAGGGGTTAGCGTTTTGCCTGATTTGATGCTAATATTCTTGCATTTAAAAGCAAATTTTTCATCAGCTTATTATTTCATGACATTTTAGTTTCTAGTATCAATCTAAGAATGCCCTTTTTTACCTTGTATATAAACAGAAATCCAACGTCAAAATGATCAACGGTGTGAACAGGAAATAGATGATATGAAGCGGGGTATTAAGACTGGTAACATTACCCTGAATTCCTCACTTCTCAAATTCTCAGATGAAGCTCTGGAGGAGCAAAAACATGCCATCAGAATAGCAGACGAGAAAGTTGCATTGGCTGCTCAGGCTTATGATTTGGTACGAAGATCAGAAATTCTTCTTTATTCTGTTTGCAATGTAAATATTTTTTTTAAGTCAGGACATGAGATGGAAAGTTATTTCCGTTTTTTCTTATCTTTACTTCACCCCATTTATTCAAGGAATTTTTCCATTATTCATATGAAGACTGTTTTTCAAAAGAAAAATCCATGGCCCCTGTCTTCTGATAGATTACATGTGACAGCGAGTTGTTTGATTCCATGTTATTCTGTGCCTCTCTATCATGGACTCCAATGCATGTTCAAGTTCAAGAGTCATATTATGAAAACAAACTACCATGTTATGCATAAATTGAAGAATCCATACGCCTCACGCTTGTTGGTTTAGCATGGGTATGAGATGGAGACTTACGAGAAGGGTCAGTATATTATAACTATTGATTTAGAGCTCAGTAGTGTGATCCACACATGTTTCAGATTAGAATATTTTGATAATCTTAAAAATAAAATCTTACTGAAAATCTATATGCCTATCAATCATCAATGAGTAACTCAAGGAGATTGGTCAATCTATTTATTGTCAAGAAGGGTTCATTGTGTCTTTGTTGTCAGCATAATATGTAAAGTAGATTACAAATTTAAATTTCTAAGAGGACGACATGGACATTTAGGACCATTTGTTTGACGCCTTGATGCTTGAACGTGTATTTAACCTTGCCCTGCCAGGTTCCTAACCATTTTTCGTATATCCATGTGACTTAAATAGTTAGGCATCGGATCTAAGAACTTTCACTCTCTTCCCTGTTTTAGCTGAATTTAAACTTACTTATGTACGTTTACTTGATATTCTTAATGATTTTACTTTTTTCATGACAGGTTGATACTCACATCCAGCATCTTGATCAATATTTGAAGAAAATTGATGAAGATCTCAGGCGTAGGATATATCTTTTGAACTTCTAATCTCTGTTTATATTGTATTTTGGTTTCATTTCATTAACGAGAATTACTTTTTCTATGGGCGTATAACAGATTTCCCCTTTTCTCTAGTGGTTTGCATAACCTTTCTTTCGTATGTGACAGAAAGAGACAATGTTGCTGCAACTACGTCTCCTGTTTTAACACTTGCAAAAGCTGGAAGGTCCGGTGACAGTAGTGGCAGAGGACGTAAAAAGTAACTACAGAGTACTTACTTTAGATCTGTTCTTATGAATAAAATGTTGTTCAACGAGTATGCAGTACTCTTTGGTTCGATCTTAAGTCAGCTAAGGTTTTATGTGACATGGAGCACTTTAGACGAATGATTTTTTCTCCGGAGAATATGAGGTGAGCAATAGGAAATCAGATTAGGAAATAATTGTTTTCCATTCCGCATTGTTTATATGAGGTTCATATAGAAACCAGCCCAACCCTGAAAATAATTAAAACTTGTGCTTAAACCAGAGACCTAAGGACACAATAAAATGGTATTTGACATTTAGACCATATTATTTGTTGACTGAATGAAGTTGTAACGACACGACCTCTATACCAAAACTATTAGCTTACGTGCTGTCCGCTATTTTCCCAAATGGTACCAGGATTCAATTTAAGTCTCTTTTAAGGAAAGGGTCATGTGTTCGAATTCTGGGGAGAGGAAGATGGGCTAGACACTTCCATAGTGGACATCACGTAAGTTAACGGATTCGAGGTCAGGTCGTTTCAAAAAATGGGCGTTTTTCTGTAACAACTCAAGCCTCGTGTCCCACCATTCTCTTACATACTATCCGCTTTGAAAATGAATTCCCCCTCTTGCTCCTCATGGATTTCTATCGCGTCCTCTTAGATTTGAACTCTCCTTTATCCTATGAAAGACTTTGGTACCAGGATTCTGCTTAAAAATCTTTTTTTAGGGGAGGTCATGTGTTTGAATATTGGGGACGCGACAAAAATTCGTGGGTTTGTAAGACGTGCTTAAACTTTCCTAGAGCGAACAATACGTAAGATGTGCTAAACTCTCCCATAGCAGACAATACATAAGTTAACGGTTTGAGCACAAGGGGGGTGGTTGTAGAATTGCTCTAATAAAAAGTGGATATTAGGATGAGTGATTGATAGTTGATATTGAATGTTATTTTTGATGGATAAACTTTTGGATGAATCAAGAAATGAAAAGTTCAACAGAAAATCACCTGCATTAATAGTTTGGTGCCAGGATTTGCAAAACTATGAGAAAATTGTGCTTAAATTAATTTTAAGATAGTTTTCTATTTTTTGTTAGCTATTAAATTTATGCTTAGTTATAAATCGCAGAGATAGACCTCAATTAAGATTTTTGTTTGCTGGTGTCAGTAATTTACACAAATCTATTAAAGTAAAAGAGAAGATGTAAAGGACTACTTGAGATAAATGCTATAGGTCTCATAGTAGTAAATGTCTGGTATTTACATTCTCATCAGTTTTAATGAGATTGCACGTTTCATGTTCCACAAATAATCAGTTTGTGTTTTATGAGGTCTCACACTAACTTGAAGTGGACTTGAATGTAATGGGAAGTTGTTTGTGTTGGCAACTTTGTGATTCCATTAATATTTCAAATATGTGTTTTGAGTTATCTTCTAATTTCTATTTTAAAAAAATTGGCATTCGCTGAAAAGTTAAGATAATTTATGCCTATATTCCCTAAAATTGTAACTTTTATATTTGGCCTAATATTTTATAACTTGTTAATGCTCCTTCGACGCGTATTGGAAAGGTATCCAATAAATTTCTTTTTCATCTTTATAGAAACCAACAAAAAGGGTAGAAAATTAAAACATAGGTGGATGATGTCATTTTATAGGTGGCGGTCCATAGCCCTTGCCAGAAGCGGTCATATATTTGTGTAAGTCAGTTGCATATCTTTATAATTGGCTTGTCCATTGGCCCACCAAGAAAACTGTTATAGGCAGAATTAGCACAGTGCCCATCATTCTTAGGATCAATATGCACCTTGGTGCCTTGTTATCTTTGGGCATAGGATTGCTTGAGAAATCAATTGAATTAGGACACCTCGTAAAATTATACTCCTTCATGATACTGAAGTTGGAGTCTAAATACTCCTTCCGTCCCAATAATATAGGGTTGTTTCGTTTTTCACACGGATTAAGAAATCTTCTTTAATGTCATTGGAAAATTAATTTTTGTCAAAATATTTCCTAATTTACCCCTATTCAATTTTTGATATGTAGTAGTAAATTATTATTAGAATTAGTAAAGAATTTGAATGATTTAATTTGAAAAAGAAGAAATGAGAGTGAGTTCCACGTTTCCAAGAAATAGGAAATATGTATATTTGGATGATTTCAAGAAGTTGGCATATTAAGTGGGGGGAATTGAATAAGGGTATATTGGTAAATGAACAAAACAAAATATTTTAAATTAAGAAACAGGCCTATATATTTGGGACAGGAGAAAATGGAAATTTAGCCAGTATAATTGGGACGGAGGGTGTATATCTTTATCTGGTGTATGGGTGTTTTCTTTTTGTTGTCATTGATATGATTCTTTTACGCATAGGTGAATTTCAGAATGTTCTTTAATGCTTTTTTCTTATTTATGTTTGTATTGAGGAAGTTTTTCGGTTCTATTCCGTTGTGTACTTAGGCTTTGGCTGTACTTATGGTAACCAGTGCAGATGCACAGAGAGAGATGCGAATAGAGCGTAAAACAGCATTATTGATGTCTGCTATTGAGGAACCTGTGGTAATAGTCAAATAACATAAGGAGCAAGTGACTGGAACATTTGAGAAGTCACTACTACTTGTATGCTGCTTGACAAGGATATAATGTTATATTAAATAAGAATAGTCATATGCAAGTACCTAGGCATTTTTATTTACTTGTTTGTCTTATGGCAAGGTCAGAGAATGAGTGGTTAAGCTAAATTCTGTGGTTTGTAAAGGCATTTCTTAATAATCTTCCCCTGTTTTGGAAGTCATTGATCCTATATGGTAGAAAATAAGTGAAATTTAAAGTAATTATTTTTCACTTTCTGCAGGACACGCCTTGCAAAAGTAACAGCCGCTGCTGCAGGAGCTTCAACAAATCCAACCAGCATGGAGTTAGATCTACCCGTTGATCCGAATGAACCAACATACTGTTTCTGCAACCAAGTGAGCTATGGAGAAATGGTTGCATGTGATAATCCCGATGTATGTAATAAAATACTTTTATTATCCTTTTTTTGTTCTTTCAACCTCTGCCTTGAGCTAACGGAGACCAACTGATGTTGCAACAGTGCAAGATAGAGTGGTTCCACTATGCTTGTGTTGGCCTCAAAGAACAACCCAAAGGAAAGTGGTATTGCTCCGATTGTGCTGGATTGCCGAAGAGGAAGAGAGGCAAATGACAGAGTTTGCTGGTTTGACTTCAGTTACTAATATTCAAAATTGTAAATGTGCGCATTATGACTAAGATTTCATTGAAGATTCACCAAAGGTAGGCACTTGTTGGAGGGGAAACTGGATTCAGTAGTTTTTGTTCTACATCAGACTGTTTTGGAGATTTCTGTCTAGAAATTCTTATATTTTGATATTTCTTCTTGAAATTCATCTATTCCTATTATATATTTCTTACTTGGCACTAAAGTTTTAAAAAGTGTAGAGCGTGACAGGACAATGAAGTCAAGTCCCTTGAGTGTTACACCCTATACGTCCTAGTGATATGTATTTCAAGTCAGATTTCTTTGGCAGGATGGGTTCAGTGAAATCTTGTCCATTATAATATGCTACTGCATATCCGACTAGCACTTAAGATTAATTTCTTGAATTCTTACATTTGTTATTCCTGTTTGGGTTTCATGTTATGCATTTGTATTTCTTCCTAATTAGAAAGTTCAACGTATATACTGTACTGTGCTTTAAGAATGGTTGGTTTCTTTTTGCTGACAAATTAATTCACGTCGTTTTGTCTATAACTTTCTTCTCAGATGTTATGGTAGTTCAAGTTGATTCTCTGACACTCAAGATTTCAACTTTTATTTTTTTTCTCAATAGTATCGAGTACTGTCGACCCTCCCTACCAAACAAGCCATTTGTGGAAAAAATTCACAAGTATGCAGGCTTATAGTTCTCTTTAGATTCAGAGGCAGAGAATGGAGTACTTTAACCGATTTAAGGGGCGAACATCTTGTTGAAACCCTTATTAGGCTGCCTAGCGAATTGGCTTATCGATGTAAATATCCGACCATGATTACTTCAATAAGCCACTTTGCTAGGTCATCCTTAAGTTATTCCCGTCTCCCTTGTGTTCCGAAATGCTTGCTTCTTTTTTCCCGTTTCACCCTTGACAGGAAAGGAATGGTCTAGTTCATAATATCTCTGAAAATCTGTTTGTAAGCAAATTCTACAATCTTGTTGATATGAATTTATCCCTTGTGTTCAACAACCTCTTCCATTAGGACCAATGTCATATGGGCCATTAGAGTTTCAATTGCTGACTTGTTATTGCGTTCTCACAACTACCCGTCGACATAATTGACTGTTTATCATTTGTGTAATGTGGTAAATAGGCAAATGGTTGCTCTCCTTCAAATTCCCCTTGATCCAGATGTTGTTTCTCACCCTTTCCTATCCATCTCACCACAAGGGACCCACTTAATCCGTTCAAGATGCCTTGATCGTGAAAAGGTGTCTGTAGACACGCGAAACTTAAAATCTTGCGCAAAAGAGTGAGAAGGTTCGAGTCCTTTTCAAGACATAATATTGTGATTGTTTCCATCGATTTGTACAACCAAAAAATTATTCTAAGGGTTTACAAGAAGATCAAAAAATAAGGGTTTTATTAAAAATTATATACAAAAGAATATGAGAATTATATGATCCCGAGCCTTGTTATGTGTGCAACCAAGGGCAAATTCAAGCAGAATTCATTGCTGGCTATAACTACAGGCTTGTGCAGATTCTTCGATGTAGATTGTACGGCGCGTACTTCAATTCCAAACTCAATATCCAGATCCTTTCTTTTGAGTAAGGTCGATGGACAGACTCGGTGGTTCCCGCGCCTCCGAAATTGATCGTATGCTTTGGGAATAGCAATTTGACTACCTGTAATCGGATGTTACATTTGCTAGCACGTGGTTGTGTCATCCTGCTTGATCCATTTGGAGGAACCCAATTCCAAGTTATTGAATGCATCTGAGTTCATTTGACATAATAATGAACATATACAAATTCGTAGAACATGAATTCTCATGTCCTCTTGGTTCAGTAGTTTTTTATTTTGTGGGTTTGGTGCTTGTAAATGTTTTGAACTGCTGGAGTTTATATTGCTTTCAGGTAGAGTGTCTTTTCAAAGTTTCCCATTCAAACCACACGACGAAGAGGCTGCCGCTTGTGAATCTGCAATACGATGAAATATAAAAAAATAAAATGCGTACCTCCAGACATCTTATTCAAAATTTATAAATCTGTAATAGAAATGAGTTTTTAAAGTACAAAGATCTTCCCGCCAATACCCCACTTTAACTTGATGGAAGTAAACACGGGACTATCAATTTTAGAGAGAAAATTGTGCAAGGATTTTTGTGTGGGTTTGGTTAGGGACCCTTTGGCATATATATAGGTAACCACCAAACAAATTCCATTCATCATGGAAGTGGGTGGTTTTTTTCCTTCAATAACTTCCCTCCAATATCAAATGGGAAGTTATCTAGACAGTTAATTAACCCACCATTTAAACTTCAAATTTATTGACCATGTGGGCCACAAACAGTTCACATTCTCCCGCTTGGTGCACATATTCAATGGTTAATTTTAAGTGGGTACTTAATATAGCCATATGCTGGAATTGCTAATAATCCACTCAAGTAGAAATTCACAATACTTGGAATCATTGCGACCCTATTTTAATAATCAAACTTTTCCTTATATGTATTACAAGTATTATCATCTCTATAGAGTACTTTACTTTATAAATGAACTTCCTATAAGTCATTCAAGGTCCGAACTTTAATAACCATAATGGATATCCAAATTACAAGCTTTAAGTGCACTAATAACATTGTTTCAAATACCAAAAAGAAAAAAATCATAAAAACCAAACATCAGAGTATCATACTGAGCATGCAAGTTCTCTAGTCTCAATATGAGCTTTGTAAACTTTAGTCGGCAAGCCCTTAGTCATGAGATTTGCTATCACGAGATATGTATTGATATGCTCAATGGCCACTTCATTTTCCTTTATATGATATCTGACAACAAGATATTTTATGTCAATATGTTTGCTTTGAATTTCACTTTTGTTATTTCTTGAAAAGAAAATTGCAACCGAATTGTCGAAATAAATATTCAAAGGCTTCTCTATATTATCGAAAACTCTTAATCATTTGATAAAATTTCTCAAACATAATACATGTGTTGTAGCTTCATAGCAACCAATGAATTCTGCTTCCATGGTAGACGATGCAATTATAGTCTGCTTGCTGCTTCTTCAAGATATACCTCCTCTAGTTAGAAGAAAAATATATCCTGAAGTAGACTTTCTTGTGTCTACACATCTAGCAAAATCTGAAAATCAATATACCCGAATTGGAAGTTAACTCAACGAATTTGTTTATTTTCTAAAAATCAATATTTCTAAGACACTCACACTCACTTCATAATCCTCTAGAAATTTTGCATTTCTAGCTTCGACAATCTTTGGATTGTACGAAAGACAATAGAGTCTATAGCCTTGGAGTTCATTGGATAGCCCATGAAAAAACCACTAACTGTCTTCGGGTCCAATTTCTTTATGTGAGGATTATAAACCCTCACTTTAACTAGACAAACCCAAATGTGTATTTGTCTCAAACTAAGTTTTCATCCGTTCCAAATTTCAAATGGTGTTTTAGGAACTGTCTTAGATAGAACTCTATTTAAGATATACATGACAGTTTTTAAGGCTTCACTCCATAGATTCAAAGATAGGCTTGAATTGCTCATCATGCTCCTAATCATGTCCATTAAGGTCATGTTTCTTCTTTCAGCGACACCGTTTTATTGTGGTGTGTCTGGCATCGTATATTGTGCTATGATACCTTGTTTTGCTAAAAACTTAGCAAATGAACCTGGCATTTGTCCACTTTCTGTGTACTGTCCATAATATTCTCTTTCTCTGTCTAGCCTTATAATTTTGATTTTTCTTTCCTTTTTTTTTCTACTTCTGCTTTATAAATCTTGAAAGCATCTAGTGTCTCATCCTTATGATTGAGAAAATAAAGATACATATATCTTAAATGGTCATCTATGAATGAGATAATATATCTTTGACCATTTAGACAAAGAATAGGAAAAGGTCCACAATATCTGTGTGAATAATCTCAGGAATATCTGAACTCCTTTTGGCATCTCTAGTGGTTGAGTTTGTCTGCTTTCCCTTTATGTAGTCAACACAAGTCCCAAAATCAGTAAAGTCAAGAGTTGGTAAAACTCTATCATTCACTAATCTTTTAAGTCTCTCTATGGAGATATGTCCTAATCTCCTATGCTATAATTTAGATGAGTTCACTTTAACAATACAATGTTTATTGCCAATACCATCACCATGCAATTCGGATAAGTTACACTCATAAGTGGGATCTGAAACAAATTTATATAAATTATTAACCAAAACACCATGTCTAACAATAACTGAATAGTGAAATAAGCTAAAGCTTTTGTGTTTCAAATACAAACTTGAAATTCAAAGGCGCTAATCTTGAAATAAAAACTAAACTACGAGAAAAGCTTGGAACATAAAAAGTGTTTTTAAGATCCAAATGAAAACTAGAATTTAAAACTAATCGAAAGGTTTCCACGCCTTCAACTGTTGAACTCAACTGGTTTCCAAAATAGACTCTCTGTTCACTTAGCTGCGGCTTCCTTAGGTCCAGAAAGCCTTGCATGATATTGGCAATGTGAATCGTAGTACCTAATCAATCCAACATGTATTGTTTGGAACATTAACCAAAAGGGATTCATGACACACTGGAGAGATAAGAGTGCCTTTATTTTGAAGTTATTTATTATAGTTGAAACATCCCTTTTTCATATGCCATTTTTTCTTGTAAAAGAAACAGACATCCTTATTGCCCTTTTGTTTTACCGGCATTTTATTCTTCATTTTAGGACTGTATTTAGCCTTGTTCTCATTTCCTTTATCATGAGTTGTCAAATGAGCAGTCTCCAACTTTTCATGTTTTAGCCTATCTTCCTCTTGAACACACATTGTTAGGAGTTCATCCACGGTCAATTTTTCTTTATATGTTATACAAGATTTTAAATGGACCATATTCCGTAGAAAGAGAGTTCAAAATAAGATAAACAAGGTATGACTTGAAAATTTCTATCTCCAAGGATTTAAGACGAGCAGCAATGTCTCTCATTTCCATTATATGCTCAAGCACACCTTTAGAATTGTCAAACTTCATGCCTGAAAGCCTTTTCATTAAGGTGTTGGCCAACATTTTGTCAGCATTTACAAATTGTTCTTCAATAGCCTTTATGAAGTCCCTAGCCTTATCACATTGAGGGATTGATCCCTGCTACTTTTACTGACATGAGTCTTTATGAGACTCACACTCAAGTAATCGGATCTTTCCCACGATTCATACAGTGACCTCTCTTCTGGCGTACTTGATTCCTTAGGGATAAGTGGTTCATTCACATGGAGCGCCAAGTCGAGATCCATACATCCCAAAGGAGAATTTTCTCCTTCTAGTGAAGAGAGTTTATAATCACATAGAATTGGAATTCAAATAGAGTAATGGAAAAAACTAAGAACCGCTGCATAAGATAAAACACATACATTAATTTTATGAAGACTATCTTTATATTGTATTAACCAATTTAAATTCAATTGTGTAAATTCAAACATTCTCGTGGGTAGAGGTTGTTATCATACATTGAATTAACAAGGACTTTAGTAATATCAAATACAAGTATTTTTCATACCTGTGGACCTAGGAAATTTCTTGTTTCAATATTTAATAGTTATTTTATTGCAATTAAATCCTTAAGACAACTATTTTACTATGGGGACAAATCATCATCATATTAATTAACTGCACTTTATGAGATGTCCTATGTATCACCAAACAATTCTTTATGCGATTTAATGTTCCACGACATGAAATTATAAATAAAGATGCTTTGATTAATCTTAAGTTATAATAACATGTTGAAATCTCAAATGACATCTCTAAATCAAAAATTTTAACAGATAAGTGAATCTCAAAATACTGCACATATAATTTTTTCATAGTTAATCCTTTAAATCCTAAACATGTAATTTCTATAAGTAAATAAATATATCAAGTTAACTCCAGTGCACAAATAATTTCATAAATACATTTAAGTCCACATTAAATTTTACAAATTAATTATAAAACTAACCATTTAACATCATGATTGCCAATTAAGAAGTCATTTACTTATAAAACAAGGCATCTTCAAATAATAGTTCAAATAACATATGTCAAACACATTCTGCCTAAGTAAAATATTAATCTGCCTCCATAAATTATTTGTACTATAGCAAGTAAATGGACTATTGCTAATTAAAAATACGAACAGTACATTTACTACACATTTATATCAATAGATGCTTTATGCATGTCACCGAAAATATATACACAAAAATTCTAGAGTGCCTTTTGCACACATTTTAATAGAAGCAGTCATTGCTACCGTTTGTACACAATGGATCAAAAGTCTGCAACTATTTAATTATGAATTTAAACGTGTTATGGCATTCTCCTTCAAGTAGAAGAGACCGCCACCATCATCCAGTGATGGCTTTGTCTTGGAAAGTAGAAATTAATTATAGTCACAACATATATACGTAGCAATAGCATATATATTATAATATGCTACAGATTTAATACTTATTCGAACAAAAAAATCTAAATAACAAGTATAGAGGATGGTTCTAATACCACATGTAAAAAAATTAAAATGTGTACCTCTGGCCATGTTATTCAAAATTTAATTGGAAATCTATGGTATAAATGAGTCTTTAAAGCACCAAAGAACTTCCAGTCAATACCCACTTTATAAGGGGGTGTTTGATAAGCATTTTTATGTAAAAAATACATTTTAGAATGGTAAATTGATGTGAAATGTGTGGTTGAGAAATAAGGAAAAGTTTTTTATTTACGTGTAATATTATTTACATAAAGAATGTGTGGTTGAAAAGAAGAGGGGGAAAATGCATTTTGAAAAAAAATGGCTACCAAATGGGGTCTAAGCTTTTAAATTGATGGAAATGAACACAGGACTTTCAATTTTAAAGAGAGAAAATTCTGCAATGATTTTGTATGAGTTTGGCTTGAAACCCTTTGGCATATATATAGACAGTCACCCAACAACTTCAATCCATCATGAAAGTGGGTAGTTTTTCTTGCAATAACTTCAGATCAATAACCAAATGGAAAATTATCTATACAGTTAATTAACCCACTATTAAACTTTAAGAGTGTGTTTGATTGACATGGAAAATATCACCTAGAAAAGAAAATATTTTCCATCTTTTGTGGAAAATAAAAACCACCTCCACTCAAGGAAAATATTTTTCTTAAAAACAAGGAAAATTATGCATATTTTCAAAAGTTGAAAAATGTTTTCCATGGAAAAAAAATAGCAATCAAACACTCCAAATAAGAATTTGGATGGAAAACTGATATTTTCCATCGGAAATAAATGTAATCAAACACATCCTAAATTTATTGATCATGTGGGCCACAAAGAGTTTTGTGGTAGGTTGAGAAGAGCTATGTCAAATTGCGGTTCTCTAATACGATAGAGAAGATTTAGAAGAAATAAATGAATGATATTATGGACTGTTATAGGGTAGTCAATATTAAACATTACCGTTTTATCCTAAGATACGAATGAGTAAATAGGATTTGTTTGTACTTTGTGTCATTAAGGATAGTGGTCGACCAACTTTTTAAATAAGCTCACTATTTCTATGATCAACGTTTATGAGTGAGTGAATAGGGATGACAACTGTGGGGATTAAATATCCCATTTCTAGTGATGTTCCCCCATTTACTTATTTTCTTAGGCCCATTTGGTAGCTATTTTTTTTAAATTACAATTTTCTCTTTCTTCTTTTCAACCACACATTCTTTATTAAAATAATATTACACGTAAATAAAAAACTTTTCCTTATTTCTCAACCACACATTTCACATCAATTTACTATTCTAAAATACATTTTTACATAAAAATGCCTACCAAACACCTAATTAATGTAATTTTTATTTTTAATTAAAAAAAAAAGAGTCGGGGGCAAAAACATGTAAACAACATCTATAGGTGAGCTAGAATCAACTTAAAGCATTTAAATAAATTATTGTTTTTCTTACTTTTAAGTCCAAAATCAAAACTACGAAAGGTAGAAGGAAAATGCAAGACAATATATACATTATACTAGAAAATCACATTACATATCGACATTCCCTTTGTAATGATTTTCCATCTATGGAGACATCGATTTTGGTTTTTAAACTGCGAAAAAATGGAGAGGACAGCTGCTTGCTTTATAAGAGCATTATTTAGTTGTTCAGTGGTGGAAATGTAGGAGACACCAAAGTAGCACTGAGAAACATGAATGTACATTATACTTGAAAATCACATTATATATTGACTATAATACGTCAAAACAAGATGGATTTCCTTGTCGAAAACTAACATTTTATTGAGGAACTCGAAATCTATGAAAATGAACTGTGCATCTGTTATATACACAAGACAGACTATTTCCCATAAAGTATTTGAACGATCTACAAGGACATATTTGATACATAGTAATGAACTAGATGATATACAAGATTTTGACTTCGTTGCCTTCGATATGAGTCGACCTTACCCCTCTATTATAATTTTTCAAGAACAACAGAAGAAAAATCCATGCATTCCATCAAGGCTCTATTTTTCCAGTCAATGCTGCTGTCATCATGAATGCTAGCCCTTGCATTGAACACAATTTCATAGAACATGCCCTACATCTTCCATAATCCAAATGCATCATATTCGATCATATCCATGTATACTCATTTTAAATGCACAGGACGCTCGCATTATGGCCAAGAATTTTGTACTCAGTATCGTATAGAAAACACCAAATTGACTAGGAACCCACAACCTTGTTTGAGCGGCAATATATTTCAACTATTGAAGTATACTGATCCGAGCTCGGCATGATGCTGTAAAGTTCAGTCATGTAATTGAAGTACGCAAGGGCTGATTCGGGGTTAGTTGTTTGTAGGCAAGCACATAAAACACCTACCAACGTGATTGCATCCGGCTGAATGTTATCCATCTGCATCTTCGCGAATAGAGCTAGTGCTTCTTCACCACACCCGTGAACTCCAAGACTAGTGATCATGGAGTTCCAAGTTGCTAAACTCTTAGTTTCCATTTCATCAAACACTCGTTTTGCATTGTCCAGGCTACCACATTTGCTATACATGTCAATGAGAGCGGTCCCGAGGAAAACACCAATTTCAAACCCGTTCTTAATTGCAAAGTCGTGTATCCATTGCCCCAATTTGAGGCTTCCCAGTTCGGCGCAAGCAATCAATAGACTAACCAGCGTATATTCATTCGGCCGTACATTCTCAAGCTGCATCTTGGCAAACAATTCAAAAGCCTTCTCCGGTTTTTCGCTTCTAGCATAGCCATTGATCATTGCTGTCCATGAAACGACGTTTCTCACGGGCATTTTATCGAACAGCTTCTGTGCAACATCCATTCTCCCGCAAGATATAAGCCCAGCAATTACAGTAGTCCACGAGACGACATTCCTCCCTCGCATTTTATCAAACACCTTAAGGCCATCATCTGGAAACTGGTTCTTGAAATACAAATCCATCAACACGTTCTCCAAATACACATCTCCAAAAAACCCAGATTTTATAGCAAATCCCTGCACCTCTTTCGCTTTACCAACGAAAGAACAAGCTAAACACGCCTTAGTTACAAAAGGGAAAGTAAACTTATCGGGGGCCACGCCACGGCATATCATGAGATTGTAGAGATGAATAGCCCTGTACGAACAGCCATTCGAAGTGTATGCTCTAATGAGTAAATTCCAGGTGAAAGTCTCTGGATTTTGGGTTTGATGGAGCAATAACGCTGCATAATCGATTTTCCTGTATTCGGAGCAAAGACGAAGCAGCTTTGTGACGATTACCTGGTCGTTATCGAGACCATTTCGAATGATTTTCGCATGGATTTGCTTCATTTGCTTAAAATTAGAGCAATTTTGGAGTAACACGACGGCATCCTGAGCTCTAAAACCCGATGAAAATTTTCTTCTTGATAAAACATCAGGGGCACTGCATAGAAGGCAAGCAACCATTGTCTATATGTGTGTATATATATTTTGTGTTATTATATTTATGAGAAAGCTCGGCCCTGGTGACACCGGAGAAATACTTTGGTACGGCCCGTCCAATGCCGAGGCGCTTATCCTCGTGATAAAGGGCCCTCTCTTTAGTCCCTTTTGACCCCGTTAAATTTCATTATATTATATTTCATTTATCTCTCTTCTATTTTTAATCACACAATTTTTAATAAAATAATATAACACATAAATCGAAAAAAATTTCGTCTTTTTCAACCACTCATTTTTCAAAAAAATATTATTCCACCCATTTTCATTTCTAAAAAATAGGGGCCAAACAGGAGCTTATTGGTTTGGGAGAATATGAATGTTGATAGAGAAGACGGGGGAAGAGGGAGGAGTGCTAAATTGTAGGCTTCAGCATAGTTTGATTTGGATCGATTTCAAAACCAAAATCAAATTAATCGATTTGAACAAATTTCAACTCAAATCAACTCACTAAAGCTCTTAAATTGAATATTTAGTCCAAATTAAATTTTTTTAAAAGAAATTGTCTAAGTTTTGGACGCACTTAAATTACAAGAACAAAAATAATTAAATAATTTTATATTATAAGAACTATTGACTAAGCTCCTGTTTGGTGCTAACTAAAATTAAATTCTAATAGAATTTTTTGAAAAGTGTGGTTAAAAATTTGTGGAACCCATGAAATATGGGTTAAACGAATTATTTGACTTAGACTTAGATCAAAGTCTAATTTAAATCAATATCAAACATGGGCTAACAAATAAAACAATGTTAATAAAGACGGATCAAAATAAAATTTAAAAATTTTATTACTTTTTTATGTATTAAGTAGTCTGACTAATTGACTATGGAAAAAATACTAATTATAACATAATATTCTTGTGAAAGAAAAGTGTTATTACTTATCGACATCATCATAGATTGGAGGGAATTGACCAACTATTTGAGACTTCAAATCATGATTGAACAGACTCACTATGATTTTGTTTAAAATAAACCAAACCAACCCAATTACCTGTGTTGAACTAACTCGAATCGACCCCGAGTCCATTTGATTTGATTGGTTTCGTCGATTTTTCTATTTTTCGCCCAAGCCTCCTAAATTGTTTTTGGCTGTGTTTAAAATAGGTAAAATTTACTTTTTTGTAGCTTCAGTTTGTCATCCTTTAACAAATTAAATTATTTAATGCAGTAACATTCTCCACCACACATTAACACAATAAAATATTCTACACAAAAATCAATAAAGTTTCTTTAAATTTTAATCACACATTTTTCAAAAAATACTATTCAAAAATCTTTATTTTCTCCAATAATGGGAACAAAGAGGCTCTTAATTTTTCATCTCGAACACTATTTGAATAGCTTATTTATAAGCTACGTTTAGGTAAGAAGTTAAGATTTGACAAGATAAGGTAGTAATCACACGTGTGTCGACACATATCGTGGAGAAGTAGGAAATCGAAAACTAAGTTAAAAAATTGTTTTTTTCCCCATTTCGGACTAGGAAGAAATACAACGATAAAGAACGGTGATCAAAACTTGATTTATGGTTGTGATTTATTTCTTTGATGTTTCGAGTCAATTCACATCTTATCGAAGCTTAGAGGAACAAGTGATTAGTACCTCGAAAAGGAACTTCTACATCTTTTGTCACTTGCATGGTTTGGCTTTGAATAAAATGCTGTAATTTTTGTTGAAGATTATTATGGGTTTATTCGTATATAGGCTTCTTAATCAAAGGGAATGTATAAAGCTCCTCATTCACCATATGGAGTTATCTTACATTTCAGATAGCTACCCACTGGGTATGAAATGCACTAAGGAGGATTCTTGGGTGACAACCCCTGGACGTTTACTTTGGCTTTACTCGTGCACTAAAAGTTCCAATCAATTAAATTAAGAAACATTGACACATTCTGAAAAATACGCAGTCTCACGTGTCTTGATCACCTCATTGCATTCTCTAAATTTTGTCTCATTATATATTGGCATTGAAAGTTGAGGACGAAAGGGGGTCAAAATGGTACTTCTCATGAAAGCTATATGAAGGAAAATTGAACGAACAAAGAAGAGGCTGTCAATGAGTTTCTTGTAACTCTTCCACTTCATTGACGAAAGAAAAACGCGATATTGATCTAAAGAGGTCATTATTCAGTATCCTGTAGTGTTGAGTAATTTTATTATTGTTCAAAGTTGATAAAAATCTAAGTGAAAAGCTGTGATTAATTTTAACTATATATTTTTTAGTACTTGTAACTTTTATCAATTTTTTTAAAGATACTTTTCTTCAACTTTAATCAAAATCTATTAAAAAATCTAATTTTTAGCCAAACTAAACGGAGGCTTATATTTTGGTTGGTGAGAAAACATGCCAAGGAGATTCGAATGTTGAAGAATGAGGCTAATAAGCATGCTTACAAGTCCGGTAAGAAATCTTGTGGAGAGTTTGAATTAGATTGACATTGTTGTCAATTTTATTTTCACAAATGTGCGGATCGTAATAAGTAGTAAGTGGACCTATGAGTCCGGATTATCGTTCCCGCGAGGATTATACTTTAGCACTTAATTTAATTTCTTTCTAACTATTATTCGACAAAGCAAATAAAGATTTTTATGATTTGATTTTTAATCTAACTACTTAGCAATACGTAGATGCACACAAAGATTGATTGATAATTTAAATAATAAACAAATATTATGGCAGAACAATTTCACATATCGATCACCTTTAAGTCTTAAATCAAGATTCATAAAATTTAAGGTAGTGTTTGGTCGAATTCCTCTATTGTATTCAATTTATCTCCCACGAGTTCTCATTGAACCTATTTAACTATTTCAATTCAATATCTCTATGCAAATCAAACTTAGTTAAACGAAAGATTGGTTCTATGAATTCATATATGATCGCAGTAATTAATATAAGTATCTCTACACGTTATATTAATTTACCTGATTTTAATATGTGGTCTAAACAAAAAATCTGTATCTCTACGTAATTATTGTTCACGAAATCATTGAATAATTGGCCAGAGAATTCAAAGCATTGAGAACATAATTAAATCGACACATTTGCATAAGGAACTTGAATCTTGAATAAAAGAAATAAAGTGTCTCAAAGTTTACATTATTCACCCTAATAATAAATTTAGCTATTCATAACAGAGGAAGAAAAACAAAAAACAATAGTGGAATCCATCACCTGGTTTTGAATTTAGATGTGGAGAAATTGATGAATCTTGCACTAAGTTCTTCTTCTCATTCCAAATCTTGATTTTCAACCCTTGAATTATCTTTTTTCTCCTCTTGAATTTGCCCTTTAACTCTCAATTTGTGTTCTTGTCTCTTAATGCGTGGATATCCCCATCAATGGTGTGAGAAATTTGTATTTATAAGTGCTTCTCCGGGTGTAGAAAGTAGGATTTTCATGGATTCAAAATAAGCAAAAATCGTGCCCTAGACATGCCCAGGCGGCACCTCGACGCCATATAGTGTCGCCATATCTTTGTTTTGGTGGCGTCTCGGCGCTCGATGCCACCTCTCAAGTAGAAAATCAGCACTACGCTTCCTTTAGTATTTTTAACATAACTTTTTCTCTCGATATCCGATTGAGGTGATTCAAGTTGGGTTGTAAAGCTAACTCCAATGGCTACAACTTTTTTTCAAATAGCCTTTTTTCCAATTCGAATGTTTACTAGGTCAAAAATGAGTTTCAATCTTGAGCTGAAAATCCGAAACGTACTTAAGCAGTTGAAATTTAACACCATGTCCATATCTTGATCATATTTAATTACTTTTGACTTCTAATTGCATCCAATTAACACATAGCATTCTCGAATCTTGATCATGAGGTTCGACACAACTTTTGACTATTATACTTTAGTCCTCGAACTTTGAATCTCTTACAATTTAGCCATTTTCTCCAATTTTGCAAACTTTTACTTATTTCATTCATTCTCATCAACCTAGACCACAACACCAAAACATACATTAAAACGCTCTAAAACTCATAGGAATTAGCTAAATATCAAGTTTAAATGGTACTTAAAATACGAGTAAAATACATACATCAGACATGCTTGAGCGTTTGGGCCTCTCACAATACTTTGAAATAGATATTGAAGAACAACTAGAAAGTTTCTTTAAATCTCAACACAAATTACACGAATGAAGCCTATGACTTATATGCTATTTCTTTCGTACATTTAGGCAACATGGAATCACATCTAAGCTCAACCCTTGGGAAACAAGTAGCACAAACCCTCAAGAAAGCGTTCAATTTTGGGAACCCAAGAATTGGGGCACGTGACTTTATTTTCATCTATCAAGAAGATGAATCAAAGAATGAATTACATCTGAGGTTTGCAAAATTAAACTATAATTTATTGCAAATATTGCATAAACAAGAGCTGCGGAAAGAGTTGGAGCTTGTGTCTAAGCTTCTTATCTTTTGGTTTACGTTTTGCCGATGTTATGCTAATAATTGAATTTATAAACATGATCTTTATGTAGTTGAAAGAACTTGTTGGGGGCTACTATGTCGAGGCCAAGTGGTTTATTGAAGGATAGGATACTTGCCGCCTTTTGCCTAGTACATGAGTAATGCATTAATCACATACACTTATTGTTATCATACAACAACATCCATATTGGATATCAAATCTACATCAAAGGAAGAATTTGAATGGCTAAGCAACGAGCTTAAGGCATTGTTTAAAAACTGTAAAATGACAAGTATACACTCCTCTTTAAATAAGAAAAAAGAAAAATAAAGAATAAATTGCAACTATATTACCAAAATTTGTACTTTTTTTGAAAAATTTAGGAGTATAGTTACAATTTGTTCGTTATTTTTCTTTTCTTTATTTTTATTTATTTAAAGATGAGGGTATATTTGTCATTTTACAGTTTTTAATTGAGAAAGTGAATGAAAATAATGATTTTTGCAATGAAATATAAAAATATGGTGAAAATGTAAGGGGAAAAAAAAGGAAAAGCATGAACGTTTTGCACAATAATAATAAAAAGTAGGGACTTTTGTGCTAATTGCCTTTTTAATAATTTATTTTGACTGATTTGCACTTTTTTTTTTAAAGTTTGGGAGTATGATTACAATTTATTCTTTAACTTTCCTTTTCTGCTTTATCATTTTACACGGGAAATTTGATGAAAATGATGATTTTCACAATAAAACGTGAAAGTAAAAGTAAAAGTGTCAAAAAATGAAATGTATGGATGTTTTGCACAATAATATTGAAAGATAAGGACATTTTGTACTAATTACCCTTTTATAAATATTAACACCTGCTAGCAAATCTGATCTTGCTTATGATGTCATTATTCCTAAGAACCCTAAAGATTTTAGGGACAACATAATTATGTGACCAATTATGAGGGAAAATAGTGCTTTAGATTAAAAGCACACACGCCTTGTACTTTCCCCCTTCACTTTAACAACAAAGCAATGTAAAAGAAAAAGAACAACAATTTTAAAAACAATTCTCCCTTCCCTCTCTCACAAAAATACATGGATAAATTAGTAGATATATATTTAAAGAAAAACAACGCTTCTTGTCTTGTTGCAAATGGTAAAAATCAAAACGATAATAGTACATAGTAGAGTCTCATTAGATATAGAAAATTGTCGGGATTTGATGATCGGCTAGGGAAATACACATGACCGTTAATGTGAAAGCAATGACCATCGTAGGGTTTTAGTAGACAAGGCCTTTGGAGAGGTAAATTGCATCTTTTCTTAAGCCACTTATTCGTTAGGGTTTGGCATTGAGCCTACTAATTTGATTAACAACGAACTTGAAATTAATCGATTATAGATGTTTCGAGTGGAACGCAACAGTTTTTTTCATTTCCCTTTTTGTTTGCTGTACCTATTTAATCCAAGCTAATGAGTGCAAAGGCCTAAGGAAAAGAAAACAACCTTTAGTGGAGTAGGTGCATGAGTATATGATTGTAACTGAATCTCAACACATCCTTCTTTAGTTTCCACTCTACAAACTAAAGATCCCAACCCACTATCTTAAATGTGAAGCAACACTGTTATAAGGACTCAAACTTGCAAAACATGTTCGATTCGCATTCCTAAACAGAACAGCACAGATAATCATATCTATTATCGTCTTTTCCAGCCTATCAAAACCGGTTAATATAGTCTTCTATCAGTCTCCTGGAAAGCTTCATTTTCCAATTTCTTCTAAAATATTAAACGGGTGGCAAGTCTTGATTCTGTACCCTGGCGGCATCAGCGCATAAACGGTGCACCACTCTAGTATGCTCATGCTATGTAGCAGCAAGGAATTCGGACAGCAAAGAGAATGAAAATAACACGAGTAGAACCAATAACTTTAGTAGACAGCAATCCTCCGCAGACAAGAAAAATAGGGTCAATGAAAGATCATCTAATAGTGCAATGGTTAACAGAAGGAACAGAAGCATTGCATCAAATGGGATTCGTCAAATTGAATCACCTTTTCCTCTAAAGAGTAATATTAAGAAGGTTGCAACAACAGTAACAAGAAAAGTTAGTTGGTCTGATGCACATGGCAAAGATATTGCTGATGTTCAAGAATTTGAGTCGAGGTATGTTATTACAGGCCTCAGCTGCTGGGGTTCTTTTCTTTTTAATAATTGATATATACTTAATCATGGAATACATTTATTTCTCTTCTATTTTTGATTACTGACTGAAAATAAACATTTCAAATCGTAATTATGCAAAGTGCATCTCTAGAGAGCCCAATTCGCCTTTTTACGACGTGCTTGGGCTGATGCGATGTGCACGTTCAAATGCTGATTTGCACCACAATTTTGGCTGGCATAGGGTGTTCCACAAGATTGCATTTGCATATAAAAAGTGAGAGTTTTAACCCATTAAACGGTATAACATTAGTCATCTCTTATTCTATATGATTTACCAACTCATTAACACGTTAATTAAGCACGGAATCCACTAATTATTATCTCATATATAGTTAAAAATGTTGGTCCTTCCCGTTCTCTGCAATGCCGGGCCGGATCGAACCATTTGACGCCTCTAGGAGATGGGTTCAGTGTTAAACTGTATTTTGTGAAGTATTTGTAAAAATATAAGGTAAAATATGTCATTTTGTTTGTAAAAGAAGTTACTTGTTTCTTCTATATGCCATTTTGAATAATTTGTTGATAACGTCGAACAACTTATAAAAAGAATTCTTGCATGGTTTTTTCTGATAATGTTTTCTTATTTTTTTAACAGTTTTTCAGAAGAAGAGGAACTACGAGGAGTGCGCAATTCTTGTACGTGTATAATTCAATGACGAACATATAATTCTAACCTTATGTACGGATAACCTAGAGGGATAAACTTGCGTGTCCATTTCTAATAGTAGTAAATGTCCATCTGATGATTTTACTGTCATCAGGAAAATGAAGGAAACATCTTCAGAGTTTATTTCATGACTTTGCCAATATTAACGTCAAGATTTTATTCTGCATATTGGCTTTACACAAGGAAAATGAATGATTGTCTTTGTACAGGGAACAAGCAAATTTAATATTACAATCGTCATTTTTCTTCACAATTAAGAGTTCGATTATCTACGGACCAGTATAAACTAACTGTAACAATTCAATCTCTATGCATAAATAATTAACTTACGTACTGACCGCTATAAAAAAGTCTGAGCCCATCTTACTGTACACGGATTTTTATCGCGTCCATGTGATTCGAACCCAAAACATCTACCTAATGAAAAACTTTAGATGAACCCTGATACCAACTAGACAACGAACAGTATATAAATTAATGGCATGGGAATAAAGGCTAGGTCGTTACACTGACATCGTAAGAATAAGTGATTATGTAGGATCTCGTGGATCTTACCAAACTTCTCAATCTGTCAGAAAATTTATAAAACTTCAGATCAAACAATGACAAATTCTGTCCACCCAAAATGAAACAATAGTACATGGTCCTTACAAGTATATGCAAGAATCAGTTCTTCGACTATTTTAACCCCGACACAACGTGCTAAATTTCTTTTTCTTCACCCAAGTGAGATTCTGATCACTTCTTCTGACTCTTTCCTCTCTTAAGTTTGCTTTTTTCCTGCATTTTCTTTTTCTTTGCTTCAGCTGTAATCCATGTATAGTCAGACGGAATTGCAAATGGATCTTGAACAGTTTCAATCCTACTGGTCGAACCACCTGTATGAAAACTCGGGTGAGGAGACTTTATCCATCGGAACCAAGACGAGCTGGAGGGATTCATCACTGATGGGCTCTCTCTGCCTACAGCAGCGGGACTTGAAGGGGGAGTAGAGAACTCATCCAATGGCTGTAATTCTTCAAACTTTGTAAACGTAACCAACACTTTGATTGTAGGGATCACTGGAATAGCGACCTGAAACAAGAAAAGGTGCCTCAATTACACGTAAGAAGATAAAGAGCGATTTTAAGACAGATAGTCACAACCTTAACCCTTGTAAAGTAACCATGTGACGCTTAGCTCCTACAAAACTGGCCTCATGATCTGCCTAAGTCAGCGCAAGTGATATGAAAGTTTGGTTGGAAAATCAGAAATGGTTGGGACTCCCAAGCTAACACTTCGCTTGTGCCAAGTATTGAGCATTCTACACTGCCAACCAAGATTCTATCACTTGGACTGCCTAAGCTAGACCAGGAGCAACAGATTTGAGGAAGCCATGTGTAGCATGGCTACTTCGAAAGTCGAGTCCCTACATATGAATTGCATTAGGACCGATGGGATGCTCCTAGTTGACACAAACAATAGACTCGTAATGTCTATAAAGGCTCAACTGGGTACCAAGGTATTTACCGAAGTTTATAAAGGCTCAATTGGGTATCGAGCCTCAAGACAACCAATAAATTATTTCAGAAAAATTTTAAAAATACAAAATATGCACTTAATAAATCATAATCCACAATAAATATCCATCTAAAAAGTGTAACTTCAAAAGAACATAAAATAGATTAATGGAGAAGCAAATAATACGTTCTCAAATTAGCAAATCGCATAACAAAATTATGATCAACTACTAGAAGTAGAAACAACCTAATGATCTCTTATATAATCACTACTAATCGAACCTCAGAGAGGAATTATCAACATAGTTGATTCCCTAACATCCTCGGCTTCTAACATTTTCTTCTTTCCCCCTCTCTCCTCTTTAAAGGGGGAAAAAAAAGGTCATAAAATATAGCCCAGAAAGTTATGTCCAGTAATAATCTCTCCAGAAAAGGTGAGACAAAACAGGCAAATTCGCCTTGAGGCGAAAGTCCCAGAAAATCAAGGTATAAGCCTCACAAATGGCAGTTAAGGTGATTTATGAAAGCCTCGTGTGAGGCAGAACTCGAAAGGTAAAAGCAAATTATCAGATATTGCAATAGAAAGTCTCTCAAAACAGCAGCTGGAAACATTTGAAGACTTAGTTCAGTGCATATAATATATGCAGAAGCATTCATATTATGTTATATAGAAAAACTGAATTATGTATCATAATTTTCATATCTGTATTTTGTTGAAGGGTAAAGCATATCTGATCATAAAATGCATTAGCATCCTAACTCTTAGGATAGAAATTAAAAATCTACTGTGCATAATTAATCTGAGAACATAGCAAGAGAAAATGAATAAAACCAAATTGCATAGGTTGCATAATTGGATGCGAACGCCATTAGTTGCTTTAAAATTCACCTTTCACATAAATAACTGGTCATACAACATCAAGATCATATTTCATGCTAACTTCTCAGTTAGTAGCATTTATCTGATAGTGGACATGTTTTGTGCAGGAGAATTGCTTTTAAATACTTCCACCTTATCATGGCTTACTCCACAATTGCCCACTCAAAATTTATTACGTTATCAATCAAGTATAGTTAATCTTCATGTCCCATGTTGACGGAAATATGGTCATCCACCGAACAAATAAAACCCATACTCCGAATAACCTTCATGAATTACTAAAGATATTATGTCATAGACGTTGTGGAACTATGGTCATCCTCAAAGCAAATAATATTATTAACTCAAGGATTTATAATTAAAGACAGTAAGCCAATAATTGTCGATGGAAATTTGTAGCCCACCAAATTAAAAAATCTGACATGGTATTGCTTCAAGTAGGGGCTACTCACAATGAAACAAATTTTGAACTTATACAATCAAAATTAAGCACTTTCACTTTCCAATGACCCTTCCAACCCACCCAAAAATAACACTAATACATCAAAATATGATAGACTCCAACAACCTCCCATCCTACTGGTTACAATTACATCAACATACGGCCATCCATCAAATTTCGCTACCTATAATTACTTGTAATAGTCACAATTCACAAAAACAATGATCATCAACACTTCACGTTAATAAAATAGTCAAAATCCACCAAATGAGGGAAAGAGAAGTACCAGCACTGTAGATGAAGGAAATACAATCACCACATGTTGCTTATAACCAATGGGCACTTTATAACGTTGTTATGTCTATTATATATATATGAAATCAGCCAAAAGAGAGATCTGAAATTGAAGCTCACTTACAAAGAGCATTGACCAATTAAACCAAAAAGATTATAAGCATATGCAGAACGTAAAGAGCTAATCTAGATATAAGGAGGGTACCTTGACAGGGAAGGTCCCCTTTGGAAGTTTTGAAGTGAGTAATTCCCTTAATCGTCGTACAGCTTTAACTTTGTTTGCCAAAATGTCGAGCAATGGTAGAAGCTCTTCAGTTTGTAGTGGGAATTCTGGAGAAAGCCATAGAACAGGCCTCAATCCTTTCTTGTACTCATTCTCACGGCTTCCATCCTTACGGCGATTTCCACTGTCAGAGTTTGTTGATGAAGAAGCTTTGGAGTCCTTTACTTTCCAATGCTCATCCCGCTTCACAACAACCTCCACAGAGTGCCTTCCAGGTTTATTTTGACTTCTAGAAGGAGAATCCTCTAGGAAATCACTAACATTCTTTTCAGAGTACAGAGAACTCCTTGGTGGAACAATCTCCATATCCGCTTCTTGTTTAATTTCCCGTTTTCTCCAGTTGTTGAACCATCCCTTTTTTTCCTGCCTATATTCTCCATTTCTACTACCATTTATATTTTCAATGGGAACATCCCTTTGCTCATAACAACTATGGCGGTGTGGAATAATTCCGTTTCCGTTTTCATTGCTTAAATCTGATGAGTCTAACTTTAGTGCAATCTCAAGCTGCCGTTTCTCTTCCTCTGTCAATACATCATCAAGTTCCTCGCTTTCTGCTTCATTTTCCTTGGAAGAGTTAAAGAGTTCATCATCCGTCATGGCTCCAGGGACCCTCCTGGACTTAATACTTGCAACCACATTATGCATATCATATACTTTAGCTTTCCAATGACCCACCATTTCTGTCTTCTCTTGTCGTCGCCATGTCGTTTGAGACAAAAGAACGGCTTGAGTTACATCAATCCCAGGCCTGAATATATTGGTTTGTGACATGGCAGTCACTTCCTGCTGCACTTCTGCCTCAGTTGCTGGAGCTCCAGCACCATCCAAAGCATTCATGACCTCCTTATCTTTGTGTGACACCATGCAAAGTGACCCTGGAGGAACTTTTCCATCCTCAGAACCATCACCAAGGAAAAGAATACTCTGATCCGAACGTTGAATTTTGAAACCATCAAAACCAGCCAAAGTCATATCTGCCCTCAAATTTGCATCCCTCTTCCATATTCTGTACGTGTCAGAAGGAGCAATTCTCGAAATGAAAGGGATGACTGAGCTCTCAAAATGAAAACTGATCTCCATGTAAAAATTCCTCATCCTTCTCATCGTCCCAATTAACCGAGGCAACCTTCTGCACCATTTTGCCCAAGCCAATGGTTGGTAATGCCGAACTATAATCTTTGCAATCCTTTCTTCCCTATTGCAAATTGCCTCCTGGAGTGCGCTCCACCCCTGTTCATTCTGCAAGCTCCAATCTACCCCTGCAAGCATAAGCATCTCGGTAGCACTGTCATCACCAAATTTGACAGCCAAGTGAAGAGGGGTGTCCCGATTAGGAACATCTCTTCGATCAATGACAGCAGAAATCGCATCAGCCTTAGCTTCCTCAGCAAGCGAAACTGATTCAGAGTGAATCTCAGCCGGGTCACAAAGCCGTGGGAGGCTTGCAATTATCCTTCTGAGAGCCGCATAATCTTTCAAAATTATGGCTTTATGGACAGGGCTATGTCCGTACTTAGAAACATCAACACCAGCCATGTCTCAGGAGTATTTCAAAGCAAACCCACAACTATATTATTCCAGTACCAATATCCAATTCAATCATCCAAGTTAAACTAATCAATAAAAACCAAATCAAGATTCATGCTTCTAAATCAACCGAACCGTAAGATGAATGAAACTGCCTGACTGTAACCAAATCAACTCTTCAAATCACTGAGTCAAAAAATGAAAACAAACCAATCGACATTCAGTCACAAATTCCACAATAAGATACTTGAAAACTGAATTAAACCCAGTTCTTTTACACCAAAAGAGCAACAAAAACTACAAAAAGAAATCCCACCTAGGTCTTCTGCAGCCAATGATTGGTGCCCTTGAGCCCCTCGGCTACTTAACCCACCAGTTTCGCCTCCTTATTTCTCTCTCTGTATATCAAACAAAAAGGGACGAGAAAAACTTCTAAAAAAAATATAGATCCTCGTGATCCAATCCAAATCAGACAAATGAAAGAAAATACATGTGGAGTGGTGCAAAAGAACCAGAGTTTTAATAAAAAAATCGGAATCTGAGAAAAGACATGGGTTGAGAAATGAGAAACTGTAAAGTGACAGAATCAAAGAAAAGAACTTATTTGCTAATACAAAGAATGGTACCCCACAACCCCACCAGTAAAGCTTCGTATTAGAAATCCATTATAACTGGAAAGAGGATTAAAGAAAGGAAAATGAGAGAGAGAGTTCTTTGTTTACTCTTTAAACAGATACAAACAACTGTTTTCGCTTTACTGTCATCGCTAAATATATGATTTTTTTCGAAACGCATGTAGAAAGACGAATAAGCATTTAGGTCGCGTTTGCTATACATTAATGTAAAAATAAGAATGAAAAATATAGTCGTATTAATTTAACACGAAAAAATATATATATATAGTCGTTATGGATCCCACACGAAATCAAACGAACACAAAAAAAACTTTTATTTCAACGAATTTCACATGAAAAATTATACCAATCAAACACAATAATTTACAATTATCAGCAAAACAATTTCTAAACAATTCAGTTCCTTGGAATTCGTTTTCTTTCCATCCAAATTTCATTTTCACAATCAAATGGACCCTTATATTCACATTCCTTATATGTTTGTCCCAACGTTTGAAGCTTGTTGGGGAGTAATTTTGAGATTTGATTTTTTGACCGTTAGGAAAAAAGTAGGGTCCATCTATGAGAGAAGAAGTCAAATATGACGGCTGAAATAGTGAAATAATGGTCAAAAAATCAATTTTTTTGGTAAAAAAATCTCCCCCAAACAGACCCTTGATTTCAGTACCATATTTGATTTTCTTAACTTTTTATTAATACCACAATTTCGCCCTTGTTTGAGCCCCATTTTTCCTTCAAGATATATTCTTTAAAAATGATTTGACATCATTTCAACCATACATTCTTAAATAAAATAATACTATATACAAGTTCAAAATTTTTCTTTATTTTTTTGCCACACGTTCTCCATCGTAACATTACTCAAAATACAAAGCCCTGACATTCAAAATCTAAGAAAGACGCGTAAAGATTATATTGACCTTAAATGTAATTTTCATACATTAAGGGTGCGTTTGATTACAAGTAGGAAAATTACATGGAAAGAAAATGAATTCCAAGGAATTGAATTACCTAGAAATTGTTTTCATGGAAATTGTAAATTATTGTGTTTGATTGTATAAATTTTTCACGTGGAAAATGTTGAAGTAAAAGTATTTTTTGATGTTCGTTTGACTTTGTTTTACGTGGAAATTGTCAATTTCAGGGATATTCTCTTTTACAATTATTCCTAAAATTTGTTCCCATTGCCAACAATTAAAAAAAAAAATAAAAAAACCAAAAAAAATAAAAAAAAAAGGTGGAAAACCAAAAACCACCTATCCCCTAGGAAAAAAAAAGGTGGAAAATCACGCTTTAAGGTGTTGTACCTAGAAATTCATGGAAAATCAATTCCCTGGAAAATTTTGTCAATCAAACAGGCCAAAAGTGGAAGTTGGAATTCGAATTCCAAGTTCCATGGAAAATTTCGTGCAATCAAACGGGGCCTAAAAGTGCATTTTGTCTTATTCTTGTTTATTAATTCAAGGGCAATGTTGTCTTTTCATGCCCTTCTAACTGATAATTTTATATGGATATATATATTGTCATCGTAATTTTTATTTTTTACATCACATTTTAATTATAGTTAAGCACATCAACATTTGTTGGATGCAGCAATTATTTTTTTAACTTTTTTTACAGTAAGATCATCAAAAGTTGAAAAAAATGAAAAATTAAAATTAACAGCTTGTTTGAGCCCCATTATTTTTAAAAAAAATGCATTTTTTACAGGATTTCAATTACATATTTTTCAATAAAATAATATTACAAATAAATTCAAAAATTTTCCTTATTTTTTAACTACTATTATTTCTCATCAATACATCATTCAAAAATTCATTTTTTCTTCCAAAATGAAGTTCAAACAAGGGCTAAAGAAAAAAATTAATACGAAAACTATAAATGGGAAGGAGGTTGTCACTCCCTTCCCCGCTCCATCGTGTGTTACCATCCCTATAATCGGACGTAGAAGAAGGGGTTGATTTCTAATTTCCTTATTGTATAATAATTCAACTTTTAAATTAGGATTAATGCGCATTTTAAATAAGGACAATTGTGATTAATATAGTATTATGTTAAATGAGGGCACATGGGGGGCTATTGGTCTAGTAATAGACAAAATAGAGGAGACGACCAAAGCCAACACGGTTGGTCATTTGGGCAAAGCACCGACCGGACCCATCTTTAGGCTTAATCAACTCGAGTTATAAGGTGAATTTGAAAACTTCTAGGTCAAACACATCGAAGCACAACAATTTGGAATTTGGAAAATAATAATAATTGCTGGGAGCGCAAGAAGGCTTTTCGTGAGTGATGAGTGACTTAATTAGTCCCCATTTGATATTCATGAAATTAAAACTCTAATTTTTTTCCTTCTTTTTTTCTTTTTCAAATTTATTTTCAACTAAACAGTCACGTAATAAAATATTTTATATTTAAATAAAAAACTTTTTACTAATTATTAACTACATATTTTTCAAAAAATCACTATTCCAAAACTCATTTTTCTCGAAAAAAAACTCTTTTTAGTGAATGTCTAATAAGGACTTAGAATGATTAACATTAAATATTACACGTGCATTATATGTGTAGTGATGGAAATTGGGCATCTAGTATCAGAGCCTGCAAGATATGCGAGTGCAATTGTGGTCGAACGGTACTATGATGGATGTCGCTAGAGAGACTTGTAAAATGTTTTATACATGGTTGCGTAGTAGAATAACGTTAAGTGAGAATCGAAAATGCTCAATATTTTCATACTAGTAATAAAATGGACATGAAAGCTGCGCCTAAAGTATTAGAGTCTGCAGGACAAGGTTTGCAGATTTCGTCGAAGTGCACATGTTACGAACATAGCTGGAGAGACTTGTAAGGATTTCTCTAAATTGTTGCATAGTAGAGTAGTACTCGGTGAAAATCAAGAGCGCATAATATTGTCAAATTAATAATAAAGTGGATATAAAGAGTCAGAATTATTATTTCCACAATGTTTGTAGTACCAATTTTTTTAACTAAAACTAATCCTACTATTTTATTTGAACCAATGCAAAATTTAACACGGAATTTGTTCTATTATAAAATTATAATCTAGGAATAAACTTCGCGTTGCTTACAATGATTTTTTAGATTAAACAATGAGTCAAAATGTTAGAATTCACGATTTCACCTTAGATTTTTTTCCCTTGATTTATATATAATTTCATTAAAATTATTAACATGCTTACCCTATCATACTCCTCTCAATCAATTGAAAAAGTCTCTAGATAAAAAATAATGCTATTCACAGTAGAGATTATCGATAATCTCTTTACGTGGTATACATATGATGGATTTTTATTTGATGCAACTCGAGAAAATCCAATCCTACCTAATTAAGTAAACTTGATATATCTCAATATGAATTTTAATCTAATTAAATGCATCAATCCACCAAGAATTTCATCAAACAATCGCAATAACCTTGAAATTATCTCTCTATATTCTAGCTTAATTACTGGTTTTTAATATTTGATATAAAAAAATAACTCAACCTCTCGATTTTTACCATTCACAAATCAATTAATAATTGGTCGAAAAATAATTGTACAAATCACAATAATTAAAACGATACACAAAATCAATAGAAATCAAGTCTTTAATAATCAAAATTAAGGATTTGGACTAAGGCTACATAGTTTCCCAAGTATGAAATTAGCACATAATCATTGTATGAAAACACAGAAGAATATGAATACATCACCAGGTTCTTAGAACAAAAACTTGCACCAATTTTGAATTCTTCTACCCCTTTGTAATCTTCTAAAACCCTAGAATTTTCCCTGCCCTTTGCTCTTAATATACGTATTTTGCTAATCCTAATAATGTGAGAGTTAATCCTATATATAGGTTTCTAAGTGCCAAGAGAATCAAGCCACAAAAAATTTCAAAATATATATTGAAATCTGAAACTCTAGTCACGTCCTGTTTAGTTGGAGGCTAAGCTACCCAACTTGGAACAAAACCCACAACCTTCATTCCAGTTTTGCTACACTTATATCTTGATTGACATTTCACGATGTGGCACATGATTTTGTCACTGATTTGAGCAACACTAGTAGCAACAATCAATGACCTCAATTTTTACACATCGCGAAATGTCAATCTTGATGTAAAAATAGAACATACAAGTAGCTTAATTCCCTTCATTGGGCCTCCTTGAGTAGCCACCCAACGGGCTCTCTGAGCGATTTTATAATTTCTTTTTGTAGCTCTTGATTTTTGCTCTTCTTTCCTCGTTAACCACGGATTGAACCTAAAACACGTGATAACACAATAATTTAGATGTTATACAATTGTTATGTGATTGCAATTATTCATTATTATGACTACGTATCTTGTGCTTTTTTTTCTTATTATTTTTGCAAAAAATATGTTCAATATAAGTGGGCTACTTAGCAATTAATAATTAATTTGTTTTCAATTTGGAAGAAATATAATTCTAAAAATAAATTAATATTCTAGTAAAATATTATACGCTCCCACGAGCCTTTTTTTTTTTTTTAAAGATCTAATATACTATTGCTCATAAAGAGCAAATCTTTAAATAATTTAATATTTTAAAATAATAATTTGTTGTTGCTTCCGAACAAGCATAATATTAATTAATATTCTAGCATAAAATAAAATTACTTGCTCACGGAGAGCATTTTGAACTGTGTTCTTGATGTAGCGCATGTCTCGAAAAATATTATATAATCTAAATGATCTTGATTAGATGTGATCTACACACAATTCTTATGTCCTGTTGGCATTGTTATGTGCTTGTTTGATATCGATTAAAAGTCAATTAAAATCAATTTTTTGATCGTTATTTCACTATTCTAGTCGTTATTTTTGAATTTTTCTCTCACAGATAGGACACACTTTACCTCTAACGATCAAAAAATCAATTATCAAAATCTCTACCAAACAAGCTCTATCGCGGGCGTCCATGCAAGTCCCAGACCACTTCTATTTTTGAGGTGTAAAATTGTCTTGTGTAAAAGATTGTGGATTTTTTTATTTTTTTATTTTTTTGTACCTATTAGCCTGATTTAAAAATAAAAAATAAAAAAAATAATTTAGTGATCATGAATTTGCCTTTAGAAACA